TGTATTTAGTAGTACATCTACAGGCTACTAAACTTGCCTTTTCCTCGGATCACCATCCACACTTATTTTATCCCCTGAGTCGTACAAGTAAGTCTGACTTTGGATATCCGTCCCCTGTGTAGTTTCGTTTTCGGGACAGGTTTCACTTCTCAGCCGTGGACACAGAAAATCCATTAAAGCCGGCTAAATGATATCTCTACTTGTAGTCAGTAGTTAACTATACCCGTTTTGCTTTTAGATATGTCAGGTATAAAAAACAGTGGGATCAGGCACCATTATGTAAGATGAAAAGGTATTTGTCACGATAAATCTCAGCCAATTCCATCAAATTAATTTTCACGAAAAACCGTCTCAATTCACAAACTGCTCGAGGAAATTCGGTCTTTTCAGCTTCAACAACATGACTTATATATATGAAGCGATATCAGCCTTTTAACTTGAGACTGTAAATTGAAGTGGGCTGTATAATCAAATGTTTTGGCACCAGCTATCAGCGTGCCTGTAAGTCTGAAATAAGAAAGCTTCCTCTTCAGTTGGAAGCTGGTTAGTTCTCTCCCAATAATCATTGAGTAACTTGCGTATACAACTGGTTTTGTACGCATGTACTGTTTTGATTATAGTTCTAATAGTTTTCCAAGGTTTAGCTCCATGCAAAGGAGCTGTCTAGACTATTACACGTATCAATATCAAGGTTTGGCCCGGTAGTTTTGAACGAATTAAGTATCGGGTAGAGATTTATTGATAAACATATACTTGTTATGTTTCAATGAGTAGGAAAATTTTATTTCTGACGTTTCTTGACTTAATGTAAGCCAGATTAAACAAATGACCGAATTATATTGCTAAAAGTTTAAATAGCACCTCGACGTTTGTAATAAATATTCTGACTTTGGTATTGGTTGACAGTGGCTTTGAGTTTCATGTGTTCTCCAACTGTAAAAATGCGGCTCCTGCTTTGCCAATCCTTACTTCCACATCTGCATCGAACCCACCTTGTTCATCAATGATGCTTCCCAACTACGTGAAAGATCCCACCTCTTCTAGAACTTCTCCATCGAGCGTGATTAGATTGGTGGTCTCCATGTTGCATTTGAGGATCTTGCTTTCTTATCTGTGTACATTAAGGCCTACTTCTACGGAGGATGCTGCCACGCCAGTTGTTTTCATCTACATTTGTTGGTGTGTGTGGGATAGAATAGCCAAGGCATCTACAAAGTCCGAGTCGTCTGGTTCATTCCAAGCTGTCCAATTTATTCCGTTTCCTGTCTTTTAACTTCTGACTAGGTAGGTTCAAACGTTCTAGTACGCGTTATAGCATAAATGTAATTTCTATTTATAACAAACACAAAGAAGCTTCGTACACTATACAGAATGGCGTACTTTGGAACAGCGTGATAAAACCTGGCTCAGTGAATTATTTTCTTCATTCAGGCAGAATATTTGAAGTTCTTTTCGTCACTCTGTCAACGAATTCCTCCGTTCAATGACTCTAACATTTTCTTAAACATGGTCTAAGGACTGTGAGGCTGAGCCCTCCATAATCAAAATGACCAAGGTGTTAAAATCCATATAAATCAAAAGAATTGAAACTAATCCAACCGGAAGTCTTAAAATAATATGAAAATCAGCGTTTCCTCCTTTTCGCTGCTCTTTCCAACAGGTTACTTTCAAGACCAGGCAAAAACGAAAGTGACAAATTGGGGGCCCTAATTACAGACTGTCTCCTTTGTTCTCCGTAGTTGCAAGGGTCATGGAAAGTCCTCACAGAATCTCTCGATAAATCTCTATCCAACAAATCTTCTCCACCGAAAAAATTGCGTAGCACTAGCCTGTCAACCAATTTTACTTTCCAGACTCTGTAACCGAAGAACAACCATGTTGTTCATACAGGTCTTCGAGACATCCCCAAGACATTCGCTAGTGTTTATCATGGAATTCCAAACCTAACGGGTAAATTAGTGGAATTAGTAAGTGTTAAACAAAATGGCCCATATAGTACTTATGAGGTAAAACATAGGTCAGAAGAATCCAGCTAATCCATGTGTTCAGTTCTCACTGACATGCAGAGTTCAACAATAGCCCAATCTCTTAACCACTCATCTGCTTACTTTTTATTAACAACTTATTTAGTACGTTAGACTCGCATGCTCTGCTATACTCAGATGGTTTTAAGGTCTGAAAGAAAATTTTTGACCCAGTGATATCTTGGTTCCCAAAGAAGACTTAGATACTTCTCTCTGCCATCAGACACCTGATCCCCTTCAATGTCAGTGAACCCAGAATATTAGTGATGAACAGTAGTGTAACTATACCCACCACGTACTTTCTCTGTGGTTCCAGTATTTTACTCTTTACCACCGTAAAGGATATGGGTATCACTCTGTGGAATACACTAGGTGTCTCTTCTGAATTCGTCGGTCAACAAAGCATACTTTATGCCTGGGCTTCTCTTCAGAGCATTCGGTAGCCTGAACCCGTGGTTATTCGAAACCGTTTTTAGTGTTTAGTTAAGACATAATCTGTTGAAGTTTATGTGAAAAGTTCTTCCGTCGAGCTGGCCAATAATGCGTTTCAGTGTTACCAGCGCAAGGTTTGTTCGGAATACATTTTTGTCTCAGTTAGCATAAGACTTCAAATTGCAGGGTACCAATACTTCCCTTTTTAACTTGGAATACATGTAAGGGGGGGTTGCCTAAGTTACAGCTGTAGTCTGCAACACGTCCCAAATGAATTACTTTAGACTTTGAAGTGTCAAATGTAAGTCCATGGTCAGATCTTCATGAAGTGCCAGTATATCCACTTGGTTGAGTATCTATCTACAAAATTTCACATAATCAGCAAAAGTAACAAATATGACGATACCTGTTGTGAAGAATCATTTATATGAATCAAGAAAAAAAATGGGTCCCAGCACTGAACCCTGAGGAACCCTACTAGGATATTCCATACTTTGAGAGAAAGCGAAGTCAACCTTGACCTTAAAAGGTCAATGTTTTAGGTATGAATTGGACTATTCAATTGAAAGTTGATTTGATACCTAGTCGTTCATCAGCTATACATGGTTGACCCTATCAGAGGCTTTTGAAGAGTCAAGGTAAATGACATTCCCCTCGAGATCAATGATGGTTGTTCATCTGTCCACAGCAGTCAGCAGGTTGACTATTCAAGAGTGACTTTTTTCTGAGACCACACTGCTGGGGTCAAAAAACGTTTATGGATGACAAACAGTCATGCATGCTGTCTCATATTAAGGACTCCATAATTTTTCAGGGTATATAGTAGTGTTACCGGTCGGTAGCGTGAAGGTACGTTGCGTCGACTTCCTTCGAAAATTGATATGATATGAATCAGTTTCTAATATTCCGGTAATGTGCCTTGGCTTAGTGAATTTAAAAACAGCACGCTAAGCGTTGTTGCCAGGATTGAAGTTGCTTCCTTCCGTATAGCGGAATAGACCATATCCGGGTCAGGAGAAGTGTCTTTTTCAAGTGTTGCAGTTTCCGGTACTTCGAGCACTCAGGTTCACTTAGGAAAGTCCTGTGCAGTTGCAGATAAAGCTTTCATCAATATAGTTAATGTGGGTCGGTTTAAATGTTCGAGAGTACTGTTCAGCCAAAAGGTTAACGGCGCCACCATCGTCGGTAGTCGGGCCTGATAGTTGCCGAACTCCATTCTTGTTATTCTGCTATTGCGAAACAAAAACATCTTGGGTATTGTCAGATTCTGATATGTAAATTGAGAAAATATCTATGTTTCAGATATTCCTATCAGACGAACATTATTGGCATTGCTGAGTCCACGCAGCTCATCCATCTTATTCGATAAACTCGTGGCGTTCATGTATAAGCAGTTCATACTTTCAATTTGAAACGCGAGAGCTTCCTCGTCTTGCTTATCTATATGAATCTTATGTAGCCTACCTACACAGGGTTTTCTGAGTTGGTAGCCCCTGTCCTTTCTGCGTTTTTTTCATGGTCTTGACAGTTCACAGGTGGAATAGTCAGCTCCAATTTGCTTATGTGCTTGATTCTGACATTATCTGGCTTATCTGGATGTATTTGAACTCCAGTTGTCAACCGGCGTCTGTTGGCGTGACGTGCTTCGAGAGTTACAACCGCCACATGGAAGGATGGGAAGGTCATCTTCACCAGCCAAGGTCTAGAATCCACGTCCTTCTAGGCTAGTCTCTCCGCTTGTTGAGTCAATACATTTTGAGCCTAAAGGGCTGCTTGATGAAATTCCATCCCCGAATATCAGAGTTTGTATGGTCATGGTCTATGTCTTCTGGTACACCTTGCACAATAATATTTATAGCACGGGAAAACTCGCTATATTCCTTGGGAATGTCACGGATGAGATTGCACTTGCCACGTACCCATCTACGATCCGACTAAGTCTAATGTACCTGTGACATCGTTAACGTAATGATAATAACAAGGTGATTTTTAAACTTAGATAGCAATCATATTAAGAATCTGTTAGTAGCTGGTTAGGTGAGGAAAAGAAGTATGTAGTGGTAAAGGAATCCACAAAATCAGTAGGTGATCGCATTAGTTTTAATGGACTCACCTAACTGAAGGCGCTCGTTCACTCATCCTCACCACATCAGGAGTGGGTACGCCGCATTTCATACCTCCTTCAGCCGCTAGCTAGCTTAGATCAAGCACCTGTAGATACATCGGTAGCCTATTAAATATATCTTTGAACCTCTTCGCTTCTGACTTCTGATTTGACTAAGTTGTCATATTTCAATTGTAAAAGGTATCATTGGTTAAAGTGTTGTCAAACTCCAGATACTTTTAGCATATTTAAGCGCGTGCGTATCAGTAAATTTATGAGTTATAATAGTGTGATATGCGAACAGAGAACGAAACGGTAACGGAAAGTTTGACGGTACACTTAAACAATCGTGCAAGTTAGGTGAAATTTCTGATGAAAGTGAGCAATGAAAACACTTTTCATTAAATAAATCTGTGCTAGTTATTTTTGGAAAGCTTTGTTGATACTGAAGGTGGTTACTCTAAGTGTTACTCTATTACTACCTCCACTTTTATTAACTAATTTGTTTCACCTTTGAGCTTCAGAAAGGACATAAAAGGCACTGTAATATTCTATTTTTTAAAACGTTCTCGTGCAACACAGATGCAGATTTTAAGAAATACATTTCGTTAAATCAGTCAGACCAAGTTTGGGGTTTGTAGGGTAACGGCGCGGTTTGTGAACATCTACCATACGATGACAGTCGATAATCTTCCCGAACCTGGATCAAGTATAACAGCTTACTGTTCTGACACCTTCATACAAGGAGATGTACTATGTGTAGATGCGTCTAAGAGGCTGATCGTTCTGCGTACGTTGCTTGATAATTTGGAGTTGTAATGGATGTTATTGATCATTTAGAGAAACCCTCAAGTATCGGCAGACCTGATGAGTGTGACATACTTATTCTACGCGCTGATTACCTTAGAGACCTAAAGAGCATTAAAGAGGGGTCTCCACCAGCATGTCCTGAACTTAATATTGAAAAGGTTGGTATGTTTTAGGATTACTTATGTCGTGCTTCTCAGATAATTGAGCGTATTCGAGTTAACGAACGTATTCAAAAGGAGAAGTTGAAGTTTTATGGCCACGATGTCCCTGTGGACGCTCGTAAACTTGCTGAATACCTGGAAACGTACATTATCAGTCGGCTTCCATGATATGATTAATTAGTTTTTTCACTGTAGTTTGGGATAAGCCACATATTGTTGTAATGGATCATACAATCATCAGCCCTCCTTATAAGGAAAACAATGTGTCTTGTAATTCGGATGCACAACAAGCCAAATCACAAACAGACTATGTACAAAGAGTGGTACGTTTGTCATTTCTCACGTCACCGCGTCATAGGTTAGTCGGTTTTATCAAGAGCGGGTCACGGATAATAGGAGTGGAAATTGACCTAACTTTCCTTTCAAAAAATATACAGTATCTCCTATCCAGTTGTTTTTTCTAATGAACCATTTATCTAGTGGCAACATTCAATCTTATATTTTACATTTATATAGTAAAGTTAGAACTTAAATTACCACCTGTGGAAATATAGTTACACACCTCGAATTGCATTGCTAAGTAAACTGTTCTTGTAGTGTTTATTAGTAGTTGGTGCCTAATGTATTTTTTGAAATGGTTGGTTTTTCTGCACGTATCCACCATGTGCATCACATGTTTAAAAGTACTCTTCGGGCCCCCATACTAATTATTTGGATTTAGGGAAATTTATTTATTTGGTTTTCATCCTACAGGAATCAGTTCTGTCCGAAAATTTCTTGCTACGTGAAAACTTAACGAAGCGTGCAGCACTCCCGCACTTCTGAAACTCCCAAGTAATATTTAGTAGACTTTGGATGCTTGGAGTATGAGTCGATTAAGAGGGCCTGGGATATTTGGTTATATACTGTAGTGTCGCCGAGATGCTTCTCAGGAAGCACATTATGGATAAGGAAACTGAAGTTTCATTTTATGAGATAAATTCTAAACACTTGTCCCATGTTTAGCATCAGAATTACTCGATTTTCTGACATGATCCTTTCTGGTCTATGATGAGTTGTAGGACTAAATACTCGCTGTGGACTCGTTTAATGAATGGGATGACCAAAGGATTTGGTTTGTTTACTACAAACCAATGAGGTTAAAGTGCTTACATTGTTTAAACTTTCAGAATTAAGATAGTCATTTTAATCCAAATCCGATACTGGAGCTGTGTTAAGAACCAATTGTGTACCGCTTACCTTAGGAAACAATCAAATTAAAGTATTCTCTTGACCTATAACATTATGCGCATGTTTGTATTGAGACTAAAGTTAGTGAGAACAAAGGAGTAGTATTAGGTGTTTTGTAGGCAAAGGTGGTTTTAGGTTCCTAAAAATATCTATCAGGCATGGAGTGCTCTAGGAAAGATGAATGCTTGCAATCCAAGACGTTTTTAATAATTTACAGTAGAAAACCACTTGTTTTTCTTTAACACCGCCTGTTGCTCTTCTCGAGTTGCTGCCGGTCCCAAGTCCGAATAAAAGAAGAGGGATGGGTATGGGGTACGCAACCAAAACCCGTAGGAAAACCTTGCTTAAAGACGCTAATCAGATTAAACAATTTAAACTGCCCTGATAGTTGGAGGAAGGAAGAATTATGACGCCTCATTACGAAAGCGGAAATTCTTCGGAAGTCAAGAGGTTTATGCCCCTTTTAACAATCAGAGCAACAATTAATATAGGTACATGGAATATCTGGATGAGGTGGGAGATCGGAAGGACTGGTCAGATAGCTGTGGAAATTAACAGATACAACTTGGCGGTTCTCAAAATCAGCGAAACCCATTGAACTCAAGCTGGACAGCAAAGGCTAGATATGGAAGAAATGCTGCTGTACTCCGGTCACGAGGAGGAAAATGCTCAACACTCAGGAAGTTGCTCTGATGCTGTCCTAACAAGCACGACATACACGTATAGGGTGGAAATCTCACGAACCCAGGATCATCAAGGAATCTTTCAAGACAGAGATGAAGGAAACCATAATGAATGTTATGCACTAACCAATGATAGCAACGACGAGGATAAAGATCAGTTTCATGAGAGGGTGCAGTTGATCACATAGAAGTGTTCAGGAAAGGACCTGACAATCCTGATGGAAGACCTTAACTCTGAAGTCGGAATGAACAACAGTGGGTATGAAGATATCATGGGACGACATGGGCTGATAGAAAGGGACGAGGATGGTGAGAGATTCGCAAATATATGCGCATCCAATAAATTGGTTATAGGTGGCTTCAGTAAAAAGTTCAGAAGGTCAGTGATAGACGTGAGAACTAAGAGAGAAGCTGACACAGCTTCAGATCACCTGGTTGTGGCCAAGATGAAGCCGAAGCTAAAGAAACACTGGACAGTAGGGGAAACAGCACAGCAAAGGTTCACTGCAGTCTGTTGTTGAGATACTAACAAATTCAACGAATTCAAGATAATTCTCAACAACAGGTTCCAAGCCTTACAAGATCTACTGAAAGAAAAAACTACTATAGAGGACAACTGGAAACGGATCCAAGAAGCACAAACTTCAACATGTTGGGAGGTTCTGGACCGCAAGAAGCATCATAAAGAATGGATCTCTGTGGAGACCCTGAACAAGATTGGAGTAAGGAAGAATAAGAAGATAGCGATTAACAACAGTCGAATAAGAACAGATAAATTCAAGACAGGCTGAATAAACAAGCAAGTGAAGAAAATCATTAAAGTTGACAAGCAGAAATGCTTGGAAGAGCTAGCAATGACAGGAAAGAGCTGCAAAAGAAGGAAATGTGAAACAACTATATGACACAACGAAGAAAGTAGCAGGAGAATATAGTAAATCAGAGAGACCAGTTAGTGACAAAGAAGGTAAGACTCTGAGATTCGAGAATAGAGGAACAGATGGGTGGAGCACTTCGAGGAACTCTTGAATAGAGCAGCTCCATTGAATCCACCTGACATCAAAGAAGCACTTACAAACCTTCATACAGATGTCACTTCACCAACAATCGAATAAATCAGGATGGGCATCAGACAAATTAGGAGCCGGAAAGCATCAGGACCTGATGAGTTACCAGCTGAAGCACTGAAGTTAGACATAGAAGTATCTTCAGAGATGTTCCACATTTTATTCGGTAAGATTTGGGAGGAAGATTAAGTGAATGGGAGTTGTGACTATACATCAACTTCCTTGACTGAGAGAAGGCATTCGACAGTGTAGATAGGAGGACTTTATGGAAACTTCGACATTATGATGTGCCTGAGATCGTCAATATCCGGAATTCATACGACGGACTACAGTGTAAAGTCGTTCATGGCAGACAGCTGACAGATGCGTTCCAAGTGAGGACTGGAGTCAAACAAGGCTTCTTACTCTCATCTTTTCCCTTCCTTCTAGTGATTCACTGGATAATACCGATCTTCACATCTGACAGGAAGCACGAGATACAGTGGACAGCTCGGAATCAACTAGACGATTCGGACTTTGTTGATGGCCTAGATTTTCTATCCGACACACACCAACAAATATAGATGAAAACAACTGGTGTGACAGCTGCTTCTGTAGCAGTAGGCCTTAATGTACACAGATAAGAAAGCAAGATCCTCAAATGCAACATGGAGACCACCAATCTAATCACGCTCGATGGAGAAGTTCTAGAAGAGGTGGGATCTTTCACGTAGTTGGGAAGCATCATGAATAAATTTGATTGATGTGATTTGGTCTTTATTTGGTTATTCATTTTACACATACTACATGAATTTCTTTATGCTGATATAATAGAGAGAACTGAAAGAATATACCACATAGATTTCGAATAGTTATAGGATGTTATTTGTTACAGTTTTTAACTTCTGTCACCTCTCGATATTGCATGACTATCCTCCATTTCCTAAGGTGTATACTTGTTTCACGATATGGTTGAACTCCACCAGTCACGGCTTCGCATCAGAACCCCCGGAATGGTGTTTTGAAGTTATTACCTAGTGGACGTATAAATATTTTAAGTAAGGGGGCTTTGTAGAGACTTAAACTATCATAGTTTAAATCACGGATTGATCTTAGTTAAACCACTATTGAAAGCTTAGAAGCACTAGACGGTTGTTTCATCCTAGTCTGGAACTCGCTTGCGGTGTCCATCCACGAGTCCGCTATTAGGGATCGGATCCAGGACCTTCATTTTTTAACAAAGGTTTTAACTCCAGATCACTGAGTCGGAATCCATCTAACGATATCCGAAAGACACCTATACTAATAATAATCCTATGTTTGCAAGTCACTAATTTCAAAATGCGATTCCGTAAGTTCTGGTAAGAAGCCGTAACTAGTGGAGTCCGACCATATTGGATGTGAAAAATTATATAGATAGGAAATGGAAGATGGTCGCGTAATACCGCGAAGTGATTAAAATTAAGCATGTAAACCATTAAATTTCGGTTCAGCGATTTGGATCCTAATACTTCGCTGTGGATGTAGAAGGTCCTCGGTTATCGGGCTGTGGGTTCATGCTTTTGTTGAGCTCCATACTCGGCTGAAATATCTATCCAGCGCCTCACGTATTTCATCGGTTATTTAACTGAAGCCAGTTCGTGATTTAATCTATCAAAATACTGTATTTTCTTCAGCGAACTAAATCACTGTCTATATTTGTCCCATGAAAACTACTTTAAATAAGATTTGATAATTGATTTATTCTTACGTGTTTGGGTAATCAATATCGCACGAACTTGCTTTATCACGATCTGACATCAACCACAGAAACGTTGAGTGCTCAGAACGTTCAATTTTCGCAGTAATTATGAGTCTTTTGGAACTCTGGTACACATTCTTAACGTCATTTTATTTGTCATAGGATGACAGAGCCTTATCTGTTACCATTCGCGATTCACAGTCTTATCACTGACTTGGTTGACTATGTAGGTCATCACTTTTCATCGATGGTGAGGCTGGTCATTATTGACTATACGATTACCATTAGTTTAAGTCAGTTTTATGCGGATCTACGCGGAATTCGGAGGTGATTTTAATTTTGTGTTGTGTTAGACGTGTACAGCGTCATGTCGTCTTAACCTTGAATAGAACGTGCGTCAAGTACTCATCATTGTAATGCATTATAAAATTTAACTTGGGGCACTTAAACAGTAATTTAAATGCAAAATCATTTTTACTCACTAAACAAGATATCAACAATACGATCTAAATTGAATGTAAAACAGTTTTGTTATTGGATCTTATTTGTCTGTTCTCAAAATATTCGTACTGTCAATATTGCTATTAACATTAGGTAGTTGGAGGTAGTCTACAAAGAACCCTGAGGTCCATGTTTTTCTGATTGATTGTTGGTATGATGCACTTTTTAATTGATGCTCTTTGGTGGATTGAAATCACGTCACCCAAATTCACAGTCCGTGATGAGGATACAAATCTACTGTGGAGTATTATTTCCCTCAAGATCACCAGTACATCTTGTGGTGAAGCCTGGGTCCATCTTTGCCTATCGAATTTTATTTATTTATTTATGGCTTTATTCAATATTATATTTTGGTACAATATACCTCTTACCACCTAACTTCACAAC